TATGGGTGCTGGTTTGTATCTCAGCTGCTCCATTTCCCATCCAACTCCCTGCTTGTGGCCTGGGAAAGCAGTGGACAGCTGAAAGCCTTGGAACCTTGTACCTTTTTGGGAGACCCAGAAGAAGCTCCCGGCTCTTGGTTTCAGATTGGCTCAGTTCCAGCCACTGGGGAGTGAACCAGCAGATGGATGATCTTTCTCTCTCTTCCTCTCTGTAAATATGCCTTTCCAATACAAATAAATCTTTTTTTAAGAGTAAATCATCAGCTTCATCATTTAACCACTATCCTCTTTATAGGTTTCACAATAGAGATTTTGACCAAGGTTATGAACATTTTAAATCAATTTTAAGTGCTTTTTTTGGCATTACTTATACCTCTATATTTTTAATAAGATACAGAAATTTCTTAAGAAATGTAACTTGACTCCAGCTGATATCTGTGCAGCATTGACAAAAATCTCTGGAGTTTTTCCCTCTTTTTCGCAGGAAGCTTAAATCAGGGTTTTGTGAATAACCTAGATTATATTGGGAATTGAACAAATACAGATCTGTTTGTCCAAAGACAAGTACTCTCCCTGCTAGCCATAATGCTGAGAGATATTCTCCATGATTCCAGAATTATTTCAAAAGATTTTTAATCATATTTTTAAAAATTGATTGGAAAGGCAGATATTCAGAGAGAAGAAGAAATGGAGAGAAAGATCTTCCATCTGCTGGCTTATTCCCCAAGTGGCTGCAATGGCTGGAACTGAGCAGATCCAAAGCCAGGAACCAGGAGCCTCCCCTGGGTCTCCCACGCGGGTGTAGGGTTACAAGGCTTTGGGCCATCTTCCACTGCCTTTCCAGGCCACAAGCAGGGAACTGGATGGCAAGTGGAGCAGCTGGGACACAAACGTATCCATATGGGATCCTGGTGGATACAAGAGGAGGATTTAGCCACTAGGCCATCACACTAGGCCCTGAAAAGATGTTTTTAAATTTTACTAGATATGGGGCATAGCAGTTCTAAAATTTTTGAAGAACATGGAAAGGCAAGATCAAATTGCAATTAGATACTGGAATGCTAAGGATACCTTAGATCAACCTTTCATGTGAGGAAGAGGAAGCTATGTGACATCAATTAGTTCCTTATGTCAAAGCATTTCATTATTAAAGCTAGAATCAAAATCTGATTGATAAAATAATAAACAATGAAAAGGAATGGAGCTATATCATGAAATAATTTTTCAAATGAAAAAAATCTGGATTTTTTTTTAACCACATGTGTTACATTTTTTAAATTTATTTTTATTTGAAAGGCAGATGTACAAATAGAGAAGGACTTCCATCCCGTGGTTCCTTCCCCCAAGTAGCTGTGAAGTCCAGAGTTGAGCTGACCCAAAGCTGTCAGCTGGGATCTTCTGCCAGATCCTCCACATGGGTACAAGGACTTAGGACATCCTCTGCTGTTTTCCCAGGCCATAAGCAGAGAGCTGGATTAGAAGTGAAGTAGCTAGGATACAAAATGGGGCCTATACTGAATGCCGATGCCACGGGGTGGAGGTTTAGCTTGTTGAGCCATGGCTCTGGCCCCTGTATTGTAATCTTACTGTAGCAGGCAGAACAGTATTCAGAAAAAGAGCCAGCTTCTTTTCCTTCGTTTGCCCTCCACAGGGGGACATAAGATGCTAAGCAGCCTCCTGGCTCAGCATTTAGGAGGTCCTGGGGTTTTTACCCCTAATTTGACCAAAGCATCAGTGGTGACTCACTCCCTGAAACTGACAGGTGAACATACCCAATCCTCAACTAAATGAAACCACCGTGGTTGGAACTGTGGCACAGCACTTTACGTCATAGAGTTCATATGCGACTCCTACTTCCAACTCCCTGGTAATGCACCGGGTAAAACAGCAGAGGAAGACTGAAGGAAATCCTTGTGCCCTGCCACATACATGAGAGACCTGGATGAAACTTCTGGTTCCAGCCTGGTACAGCCGCAGCCATTGTAGCTCTCTGGAGGGTGAACCAGTAGACGGAAGCTCTCTATCTGTAACTCTGCCTTTAATATAAAATGTGATTCTTTAAGATTTATTTTTATTGCAAAGTCAGATTTACAGAGAGCAGGAGAGAGAGGAAGATCTTCTATCTGATGATTCATGCCCCAAGTGACCACAATGGCTAGAGCTGAGCTGATCTGAAGCCAGGAGCTTCTTCCTGGTTTCCCATGTGGGTGCAGGGTTCCCAAGGCTTTTGGCCATCCTCCACTGCTCTCCTAGGCCACAAACAGGGAGCTGGATGGGAAGCAGGGCTGCAGGGACATGAATCGGCACCCATATGTAATCCCAGCATGTTCAAGGCAAGGGCTTTAGCCACTAGGCCACTCCACTGGGTCCAATCAAAATGTTTTTTTGAAAAAATGAAATTAGGGGCTGGTACAATAGCTCCCCTGGCTAATGCTTCCCCTGCAAGTCTAGGCATTCCACGTGGGCCCCTGTTCAAGTCCCAGCAGCTCCACTTCCCATCCAGCTCCCTGCTGTGGCCTGGGAAAGCAGTCAAGGACGGCTCAAGACCTTGGGACCCTGCACCTGTGTGGGAGACCCAGAAGAAGCTCCTGCTTCCTGTTCCGAATGAACAAGTGGATGGAACATCTTTCGAGTCTCTCTTTATAAATTTTTCCAAGGAAATTTTTAAAATTAGTACTCTTCTATTAAAATAGAAATCGATTTGTAAAATTTTTGACATGTTTGACTTTCAATAAGACAAACTAACCAGTTTTAAAATCAAAGGAAATGTTTAAGGAACACAAGGCTGGATACCCACAATTTCCTGAGATGACTATGAGGAAAGTAATGGCAGAAGCAGAAAAAACTGATAATGGCCCTAAAGAATTGGGTTAGGGCCCAGCATGCTAGCCTAGTGGCTGAAATCCTCACCTTGCATGTGCTGGGATCCCATATGGGTGCAGGTTCTAATCCTGGCTGTCCCACTTCCCATCCAGCTCCCTGCTTGTGACCTGGGGAAGCAGTGGAGGACGGCCCAAAGCCTTGGGACCCTGCACCTGTGTGGGAGATCCGGAAGAAGCTCCTGACTCCTGACTTTGGATCAACTCAGCTCTAGCCATTGCAGGTACTTGGGGAGTGAATCGGTAGATAGAAGATCTTTTTCTGTCTCTCCTTCTCTCTGAGAATCTGACTTTCCAATAAAAATAAATAAGAAAAAAAGAATTAAGTTGTCGCTGAATTTTCTGATGTTCCCTTGTCTTAAAAAACGGTCTAAGGAGTGTTTCTGAGACAGATGCTTTTCCTTTGGGCTCACTGAAAATCCCATTCATTTTGGTATTCCTGGGCCCATCCCTAATTCCAAAACAAGAGTAGGAGTGAATTCTGGGCTGAAGTTCTGCCCCTCGGCAAACCCAGTCCCTGGCACACACCAACCTTGAATGCCGAAGCTGCTTGGTTTGCCTGAAGACGGTGACTGCAGGCTAAGTGGCTCCTGTGAGAGAACTCCCTTCTGCTTTCAGACCTGGGATGACCTGCAGGTGTACTGATGCTAACAGAAAAGGGGGGGGGGGACACAAAACCGTAATTCCTAGGTCAAAAATAGGACGTCTGTTCTCCAAGCCCGAAAGGCAGCAAAGCCTCTTCCTGAACTCCACGCTCTCCTAACCCGTCATGCTCATTTATTAAACACCCCCACACACCTCAAGAGAGTCCTCCCGTTATTCAGGTCGACTTGTCAGCTGCCCGGAAATCCGCGTTATCCTCTCACGAAAAGGGGCAGAGTACTTCCGAGCTCCGCGGGCGCAACGAATCACCAACTAGCCAAGTTACCCCACCCGAAGCCCAAGCAGCAGTCCAGAGCTCCACGGGCCGAGTTTCACCATTGCTGGTGAAATAAATGCAATTGAGCTTCTTCCTCTGGGACGAAAAGAACAAAGGTATGTTTGTGTATATGGCTTGCAAAGAAGCGGGTATCCTAATTTTAACTTCAAGAAGTAATACATTGTATATGGTTGTCAAAATAAAACATTCTTCTGAATATAAAAAAAAGAAGTAATAGATTGTCAAGTTTGATTGTATATTAGAATGGTTTAAGAAAAAGGCAGTGTTTGATTTAAAGAAAGCGACTGAGCAGCAGGTGCGCGGACTGAGCGAGGATGCAGGGAGCCACGGAGAGTCCCGTGAGAGGACAGGGAGGTTTGGAGAGTGGGTCCCTCCTGTTTGCCCTCCTTAGCCAACGCCCAGGGAGCACCTTGCTCCGGTCCTGCCGCCTCCGCTGTGGATTCCGACCTCAGGAGCGAAGCCTCCACGGCAAACTCCACCTGCCTGACGCCACCGGTCCCATCCCGCCCCGCTCACGGAGGGCCCGGGGCGGGGATGCCTTGACGTGGGCGCAGCCCGGTCACGCCTCTTGCCCACATCTCCCCTGTGGTCCTCTTCAAGGCTCGCCCAAGCGCCCGCCGCTCCCCGGTGCGCCTGGCCCAGCCACGCCGCTGTCCTCCGGCGTTGCCAGCTTCCCCGGGAGCACCTGCTGCCGGGCGACCGCTGACTGACCAAGCCGCGGCTGGAGTTCAAGATTCCCGCCGCTCTGCTGGCTCCACGCCCCCCGCCCTTCCGTTCTCCGGTCTTAAAAAGGAAAGGGGAAAAAAAAAAATAATAAAAACCACCACAACTTTCCCTCGGCGAAAGCCGTTCGGATCCTAAGCCCCCCAGCTCGGGCATCTCCCAGAGAGAGCCGGGCATCTCTCAGAGACTCGGAGCAGCAGGCAGCCCCGCCGTCGCCTGCCGCGCGCCCGCCCCTCTCCCGCTGGGGACGCGCCCGGGCGGGGCGAGCGCACCCGGGTCGGCGGGCGACGGCGGCGGGGCGGAGCCGCCTCCCGCACGGGGGGGAGCCCCGGGGCTCGCCCCTGCCCAGCCGCTCGTGTCCCGGAAGGCCGCGGCCGCCGGGCCAAGTCCTCGGGCCAGCGGGCCATGGAGACGGGGAGACGCTGGGCGAGGGGAGGCGGGGTGGCGGAGGCGGCGAGGGCGCGGGCGTGGAGGCTGGCACGGGGAGCCGGCGGCTGGAGCGGTCGGTGCGCTCCCCGCGCCCGAGGGTGCAGGCGGCTGTGAGGCGGTGGCTGCTCCGGGGGGGGACGCCGCCGCCGCCGCCGCCGCCGCCGCCGGGGGCGTCGCCGGGCTCGGCCCCTTTGTTCTCGCGCGCTCCCCCTCGCCGCCCACTCCCCTGCTGTCGCTCGGCGGCGGCGGCGGCTCCTCCCGCCCGAGGCAGTCGGGCTGGGCGCCGGGGGCGGGAGGGGGCGGGGGGGGAGCGCGCCAGCCGCCCAGAGTGGGGGGCGATGGCGAAGCTCCGGGTGGCTTACGAGTACACGGAAGCCGAGGACAAGAGCATCCGGCTCGGTTTGTTTCTCATCATCTCCGGCGTCGTGTCGCTCTTCATCTTCGGTTTCTGCTGGCTCAGTCCCGCGCTGCAGGATCTGCAAGCCACGGCGGCCAACTGCACGGTGCTGTCGGTGCAGCAGATCGGCGAGGTGTTCGAGTGCACCTTCACCTGTGGCGCCGACTGCAGGGGCACCTCGCAGTACCCCTGTGTCCAGGTCTACGTGAACAACTCCGAGTCCAACTCCAAGGCGCTGCTGCACAGCGACGAGCACCAGCTCCTGACCAACCCCAAGGTAAGCGCGCTCCGCACCAGCGACGCCTGCCTCCTGTTCCGCTCCGCTCCGGAGACAGGCTGGCGGCGGCGGCGGCCGGAGTCGGCGCGGGCTGGGTCCCGCGGGGGTGAGCGCAGGCCCGGGGGCTGCCCGGGCTGCCCTGCGGACTGACCTCAAGCCCCTGTGTGGGTCTTTCCTGCACCTGGGCTTGGGCGGCGAGTCTTTTAATGCACCTGTTCCTTGCGCTCGGGTGTTGAGGCCTCATCCCGACTCAGGTCCGGCGCCCACGAGACTGGCTTAAGGGAAACGCGAGGAACCGAGAAAAGTTAACTTTTCACTCCCATTAACGCCGATGGGTAGCGGGGATCCCACCTCCGCCGGCTCACCGGCCAGTCGCGGTTCCAGCTACAAGAATTCGGGTGCTGTCATCTCCTGGGGTGATCGCGGCGGGTTGGGTGGAGTCGGTTACCCCCCTCGGGCGTTGTTCGAGAATAACCTGCTTTTTGAAAACTCCGCGGACATTTTTAACCTGGAGTGCACGAAGGGGCGTTTTGAGGGGTCGACACGCTCTGGAATGCAAGGCGAGTCTACTCTAGGTAGGGGAGGATATGCAGTTGCTCCCTAGGGTCCAAAGGGACCCCACCATGGCTGGGATAGCTGGGAGCGTCCTGCGGAATAACCGAACTTACTGAAAATAGGACACCTTCAGTGAACTGGACCCCCACGTCCTTCCCTCACAAGTTTCTGTCTCACAAGTGAGCAAAGAAAATGAACTGAGAAAAACCTGGTTAGGACGTGCGACATGGAGAGCAGAGAGGGAGACTCAGAAACATGTTCCCAGTGGAGGAGGGAAACAAACACACACACACACACACACACACACACACACACACACACACACACACACACACACACACACACACACACACACACACACACACACACACACACACACACACACACACACACACACACACACACACACACACACACACACACACACACTTATAAAAAGCGATGTCCTCAGCCCGTGAACTAATTGAGCTTCGCAGCGCACCTGGTTCTGCGAGGCACTTTTTTTTGCCCTTGGTCTTGTGTGAGGTCTTTGTTGAGTAGCAAAGTAAGGGTGTTGTGGTCTTTTAAAAAGTTGCTCGCAGCTTTCTGCTTCGTGCACGCCGTGCTTGCGGAGGAGCCAGGACAAAAGCCCCAGCAGGAGCCCAGCCTGTGTGCCCAGGAAAACCATTATCACCTGTCTCTGGAGACACTGGTGTTGATCCAAGTGGAAAACGGTGGTGAATTCCTCTCTTTAGCGTGCTTAACATAGACTTACCATAGCTCTGCAACAACACTGGTGGTCTTGTCTTGCAAACAGTAAATGCTGGACAGCGGAAATTTAAAAAAAAATACTCTAAAAAGAAAATCTGAACTTCTCTTAGAAAAACTGCTCTTAATAACAAATGAATGTTCAGTGAACTGAAAAAAAAAAAAGGAAGAAAGAATGACAATATCCCCAGATGAACAGGGAGCAGAAGTCTGAGTAGGGAGTGCAGACATCGGAGGAACAGGTTCACGCTCCTGAAGATGCAGTCCTGTCTGGAAGGTTCTAGTGCTCAGGGTTTCAGGAGCCTTTTGTTTTCAGGGTCAAACAAATAAGATCAAAAGCGCCCAGGGATGGTCTTGGGGTGGACATTGACACTTCATTATTTAGAAGTTGGGGTAGTTGGTGAAATATTGCTGGTGATTTTCTAGACAGTGGCTCAGGCGCTAGTAAGTGGAATGTGAATTCACCAGGAAATGGCCAATATCATGTTAAAATTGACTACTAGAAGGTGACTTCGGGATTTGCAGGCAATTTTGCCAGAAGTGGCAGAAGTAGTGAATGAGAATCACTAGGCCGTGGATCTTTAAATTCCCTTGTAAGCAACGACAGTGCTCAGTGTAATGCTAAGGTGTCCCCCCCCACCAACCCCGCCTGCCCTCACCACCACTCCACAAATGATGTTTTCCTTCCCAGTGCCAGTTCAGATCTTGCTAACAGTTACTTTGAGGAAGCACCTGAATAAAACAACACTTTATAAAGTAGCCTAACACTGTGTGAAGTGAAGAAAGCATTTGTCAACTGTAAACTGGTAGACAGCATCCTGGCAGTCAGCATCTCCTCTACCAAAGCGATGTGCTCCAGGTGCTGAATTCTGCTGTATCCTCATCATCGACCCGCTTTGGTCGATGAAGTGCCCACTTTGGACATTGTCTGAAACGTGCTGGAGATGGAGAAGTTCGATGGAACCCAAGTATTGTGGTCGAGGAGGCAGTGGCTCTGCAGTCATGCCCGGAGCCCGGGCCTGGTCCATGTTGCTGCCTACGTTTTTGCTTTGCTTTAAATCCTGACTGAGAGCCCAGATTACCTACACATTCCTTTGTAGACTGTCTTGAATCTCAACCACCTTCAACCGTCTCTTCTCCATGCCCTACCAGAACAAGAAACCATTTAGGAAATCACTGCTTAGCAAAATAGAACTTTTTCCTCTCCCCTGGGTTTACTGCATTAATTACAGTTCAAAAAAGAAAAAAGTATGGAATGGGGGAAGAATATTACAGCTACATAACTTTCTAAGCTGTAGATTATAAAATACTGTAAATGAATTTCATCTTTGATGAATAATTTCTCAAATACCTGTTTCTCCTACTGAAGTGACTTGATTGTATTTGGACTCCTGTCCTGATTGTCTAATTGCTGTGTCTGTTTGTGTGATATAATATTCAGTTCGCCTGGTTCCGCACAGGGAGAGGATCTCTCTGTGAATGAACCATACTAAAATCTAAATTTGGGCCCAGCTCCCTTTTTTGCTGTTACCTCCATCACTGCTCTTGACGACTCAATGGTTTATGGTGAGACCACTGCTTCTCGGCTGTCACCGCGCATAAGTTTCTCACCTGAGAGACTTTTCTCATGTAAACTTATTTGAAAGGCAGAAAGACAGATAGCAATCTTGTATCTGATGGTTCACTCCCCAAATGCCCACAACAGGACTGGTCCAGTCCTTTTATGTAGAACTGCTGCTTTCCCAGGCTGCATGTCTGAAGGAAACTGGTTTGGAAGGAGATGCAGGACTTAATCCTAGACACTCCAGTATGGGGTGTTACAGATGAAGCAGCGGCTTAACCTGCTGTACCACAACCCCACACCTCTCCACACACACCCTCCCCCACCACTTCCTCTTCAGAAACTCCTAAAAAGAATTTTCATGCCTGAACCTGATGCTCAGAGATTCTAATCTGGTCTTGGATTGGACCTGGGCATTTAGCATTTTTTTTTTGGAAAGTCAGATTTATAGTGAGAAGGAGAGACTCAAAGAGAAAAGCTCTTCCGCCTGCTGGTTCACCCTCCAAGAAACTGCAGTGGCTGGACGGAGCCAATCTGAAGCCAAGAGCTTCTTCCCATGCAGGTGTAGAATCCCAAGGCTTTGGGTTGGAGTCCTGGCTACTCCACTGCCAATCCAGTTCTCTGCTAATGTACCTGGGAAAGCAACCGGAGAGGACCCTAGCGCTTGGGCACCAGCACCCCCGTGGGAGACCTGGATGAAGTTCCAGGCGCCTAGGTTTGTTCATGCCCAGCCCCAGCTGTGGCAGCCATTGGGAGAGTGAACTGGTGGTTGAAATTCTCTCTTCCACTCTATCTTTATCTTTTGAATAAATAAATAACATTTAAAAATGCATGATGAAAAAGCTGCACGGATTTTCAATTTTCTTGTTCCAAAATGAATTTTAAAATTTATTTTCCACAAACTTTTTGAAATTTCCTCATAGGGAGTTTGTATGAGAGGATAGTACAGGAAATTCTGAAGGAAATGAACAGTTTAAAGATAGTCTGGAAAAATGTAGTTGCTTTAAGTGAAATGAACTTACAGACTTCTCTATATAGCATAGCCAAACACAAGATGGATTTTTTTTAAATGACCCTCTAGTATATAGGATAAGAGAGTGGGTGAATACTAATATGCCTTTATTTATGAATTTTTGTTGTATTTTTTTGTGAATTTATGATAATAGAAACTTAGAAACAGATACTTTAAGAGGAATGCACGGAAGAGGAAAAAATCTTGGGTGAACCAGTGAAGTCTTTGGGCCTTAGGTGTGTCCCCTGAATGCGGCTGTGTGTGCCGAACTGCAGGGCGTGGGGCTTGTGGTGAGCTCCTGTGTATCCTTCATCTCGCACTCCTGATATGCCATGCGGACTGTGTGGCCTGCTGGGGATCATTTCCAAATTCCTTCCTTGAAGTAAACATCTGGCTTCATATACTTCTTGTTCTGAATAGGGCCATCCTATCAGAGCTACAGCCTGAAAGGCCCAAGTGGATCAGAACCACCTGTCTATCCTCTTAGGTTCTTCTTCAGAAAAGAAAGTTGCTTTCCCTGGTTACTTTTCTTGTTATGTTGTAAAATAGCACTTTCTTAGCATCTGTTAGAATCAAAGAATTGAGCAGGAAAATGGAGGACCTGCAAAGCAGAGGGAGTTTATTTAACAAACACAAGGCATCTTCATATAGTTCTTGGCAAGTACATGGCTAGGAAATAACTACACACAGGTTCTGTTGTTTGCACCAAAGTGAACTGATCTTTCATTTTCTTTTCCATGAATGTTTGGAAGGACCCATATGTTTGTTAATGTACCTAGTGTGTGCCATGTGTGTTTACGGATTCTGAAACTAGAATTGAGACAAGTCCCTACCCTCATGGAGCTTCCACTTTACTAGGGGAAGTTATAGATGAACCAGGATTTGAACCTATGCAGTTTAATTCTAGAGTCAGATTTCACAGCCCCTGGGCTGTAGGATCCCTCAGGTGGAGTCACAGATGAGAAATGAATTCTAAAAGTAATATCATGGAGTGATCAGTCGATAAAGGAAAATCAGGCATAATATAGGCAGTGATGCAAGAAGAAAAAAAATCGGTGTTGGACAGAATGGTTAGATGCAGCCACTCTGTTGAAGAGACATTTGCACAGAGGATGGGAGGATGAG